AGGTGACTGAAAAGATTTACGTAACAGTGGCTTGCTGTTGGTTTGTCGCAGCAGACAACTACCTTTGATAGTGTTGTAGTGATATAAATACAAAACTCACCAATGGTGTCAAATGGAAGCTGTGCCCAGACATATTTTGGTCATAAACCAGAGCATTGGGCAAAGTTAACTTTCAATTGTTGCAACAGTTTAATCAAAACCACAAATTCCAACTCATGAATGCACAAGAAGGAAAGTCAGACCTATCTGTACCAGATCCACCCACTGTCTATTAGATATTTCAGTATATTATATATTCAGTCTGAACCAGAGTTTAAGAACGATTAACGGACTGAAATTGTCATCCACACTGTCATAAAACTAGAACGAAAAAATTGTATTTGGAGTGGTTTCTTTTGTTTCTGGGAAATGTCTTCACTTAATAGCCGTGAAACTGGATTTTTATTGAACCAACTCTTTAGTGGGCTCAAAATAAAAAGTGCAAAATAACATCTGAATGATGTATAATAACAAATAGCACAGTGTAAAGTGGGTTTAAGAGGTACAGTATTCACAGATTCACAGCATGATGTTTTGCAATTAAAATGTCAAGCATTTGCCACAGACAGAGAAAATAGGATTAATGAGGGTCTAAAAGTGATAGAAAATCAACCAAGCAGCAAGTATTTCATTACATTACATTACATTGCATTTAGCTGACGCTTTTATCCAAAGCGACTTACAATAAGTGCGTTCGACCACCAAGATACAAACTTGAAGAAAGCAGAATCATATAAGTACATCAGGTTTCATAGAACAAGAACATTTCAAGTGCTACTCAACTGGCTTTAGATATTTCCTACAAGTTCCCATTTCTTCTCAGCTTTTCCACATCATGTCTGTGTTAATTCCAGTTAGACAGAGCCACACACCCTGGCATATATCATCCCACACACTTGTCAAACATCTGAAAAGTAGATAGAAAGGACCCTCCACATGGTTCTGATAAAGACAGAGGTAAGCTGTGGACAGGGCAGTTTATTCATTCCCGTTCTTTGGTTTAATTATTTATGTAAAGTGTGTTGTGATTCCTTTGGGAAGATTGCCCAAAAATGGCTTCAAAAATAAATAAAGCCTTAAATGGTCAATATGTTCAACATGTCTTTCTTCTGCTGTGTCTCCTTATGTTTTGGAAAGAAAAGTTAAAAAAAACAGGAAACATTTGGATGCTTTCCAGCCTGCAAATGAAGCATAAAGCGTGCTCCTTTTGTGACAATGTTTACACAATCTCTCAACAACACAGCTCAGATGAACTTAGGGATTTATGGAAACATATAAAGACTCTTTACATATGTTGATTCTCTGGAGTCAAAGGGCCCAGAGGTAACTTATGATGCTGAAGATGATGATTTATGTTTTTGCCAGAAAGCCTGCTGACAGACTGTAAACAGATTCTGGCTCTCCTCCAAACTCCAAACGTATCTGAATTCAGTGCAAATATAATTCCCCTGCAACCAATTACTCAGATAAGAAACATAACTACACCTGTGTTTATTATTACAAAATGATTAAATGAATAAAGTAGAAGATCTTGTCAGAATTTTGGTTGGATTTTCTGTGTGTTCAACTGCAGGACCAGCGACTTATTCTCACAATTTGTTTCAAAGTTCGGTACATTTTTCACTTAAAAAGCCCTTTTATAGTCATAAATTAGAGATAATACCAAAATATATAGTTATATATAATATAGTATACATTTGAGAGAGTTGACAAGTGAGTTTTCTAGACCTCTCTATAAGCATTTTATTTTTGCTTGAGGCTAACATCTACATTAGCTACACACCCACATATCCAACCAAAATGTTAGCTATCACGTTGCATTGTGGCTAATGCGTGCCATATTCTGACGAGGATGATGCATTTGTTGAATAATAAAGATTGTAATTCATCTCATTTTTCGCTGAATTCGTTTTTTTTTTATTCGTTGAAGATATTTATAACGATGCATATGTGTGCGAGCTTTTGAGGAATGACACCTGGTGGCTCACACTGGAATGAGCTACTTGTGCTGTTTTCATTGTCCAGTCTTCAGTCTATAATCTCTGCCATCTTTCATGTTGGCCTAAGAGAACTTCAGAGGAGTTCCCTGACGCTGTTGTTAAAGCTTTACTTGAAACAGGTGGAATATGTAATGAAAATTGCATGCTACAAATCTGCATCACATAAACTTTTACTTTTATAACCGTTAGGTAAAACTCTAACAACCCACTGACATCCCCTGGCAATAAACATAGCTAACCCGGATCAGACTACTGCAATTACACTTAATTACAATCTTAATTTGTCAAGGTTAAAACCTCCACTTTAGCTAAAAACAAATGTATGCAACACGCAATAAACACAATCAAAACGTCTACCACTGTTCTGTATATCATCTCCAGTTCCTTCAAATTAGACTTTAGCCAAGAGGAAACATTAACAATCCATGAAAACCTTTCAAACTAACCAATAAAACCGACTATCCACCCGACTGTTTTCATGCTTCACAACCATTTGCTCCACCAAGTAAATGTAACCGAAATTCTTTTGGTGCATCATCCAGCCTCAAACCCACTGAGAAACAAAACCAGAACAAGCCAGAAACCACAACGCAGAACTGTTGTTTAGAGGCAATTCAACAGAATCTAAACAGAGATAAATATGAAATACAAGCCAAGATGAGAAAACAGCTGTTATTTGTCACAATGTCTCCTCTTCATACTCATTATCAGATTGGACCAACAGATTATAATCTTTTCTTCTCCGTACTGCAGGAAGAGACGGCTCAGGGGGAATGCCTTGAGCTCAACCAGGACCAGAATTGACAAGTGGTGATCTAATGCAGATGATAGAGCTCTATATTCGCCTCCTCCAGCATAATTTGCTCTGGTTACGTTGATGTGCTTGATTACCAACTGCGGGTGGGTAGCGGTCTTGAGGCCCAAAGCCCCTATGGGCTCGAAAAGCCCCATGTTCATCATGTGTCAACTGGTTTGTGGTGATTTGAACAATTTAAATTGTGTTTGGCAATATGTGCCACAAAAGCACAGCTGGCATCATATGGACTTTAAGATACAGCAGGCCCTGCTTGATTAGCTGATCTTGAAGCCCTGTCTTAAGAGGGACCCTGTATTAGCCTGGTTCGGAAGCTCTGAATTTTGTTCCATTCTTTTGATTTGCTAAGTAATTCAAACATGATATGTAGGTACATGCTGTAAGTCAACCTATAGAAATAATAAATCTGATATAATTTCATTTGTATTTGGTCGTCAAGACAAATGTTGTCTTCTCCATTCAATCGCAAATTGAAAAGGAGGTTGACTTGACACATGTCAGCGTTTGTAGGTCCACTTAAAGGTGGGGTAGGTAAGTTTGAGAAACCGGCTCGAGATACACTTTTTGTTATATTCCATGGAATGCTCTTAACATCCAGCAATGAATATCTTAAGTGCTTTGACAAAAAATCCATTAAAAAATGTCTTCTGTGGAAGCCGTAGTACTGTAAAAAGCACGACCAATCATTTTAGCCGGCCCGGCTAAAATAACTGGATGGCCTACCTGCCTGTCAGCCTTCCATCTGGGCACAAACTTATCTCGTGCCCTCATTGGTCATGTGCGCGTTCGTGTGTGTTGGAGGAGAGGCTCTGTAAGGAAGTCTGAAGGAAGAGGCAGATTTTTTCTGGTTGTGTATTTTCAAATTCTAGCGCACTCGAGCTGGTTTCTCCAAAATTACCTACCCCACCTTTAAGTTACTCTGATTACATTTTTATAGTAAGAAGACATTTTTGTTTCATTTATCAAATTACCAAGCACCAAACTGGTTGCCAGGCAGGATCCCAGCATGCTATACTTGCAGAAAGATTTAGAGGGGCCAGGGGTTAAAGGGGTCCCAGTTGCTAATTTTAACTTGAGGGTCTCCTGGCAGGTTAATCGAGCCATGCTGGGGATTACAGACAGTTTCCACTTGGCTGCCTTATTAACTTGTGAGTAATGTCAAGTATCTATACAAAATGGTTTCTGCAAATCCAAAAGTTTGAACAGAACTGCCAAACAATATTTTTGTATTTGAGACTTCCTGACCTCTTTCAGGAAAGGCACTTCCCTGACTGACAGGCAGTGTTTGATAAAGATCCACTGAACAGTTGTGTTGAGCTGTGTGCTGAGACACAGAAGCTTGTTTGGCCAGATCACCTGATACGGAGAGAGAGCTCTTCCATCACCATGATCCCGAGGCCAAGGACCCGTTGAAATCACAAATACAGAGGAGCGCAGAGCTGGTCAAAACCTACTGAGGTGCAGAGGAGAGATTCAGCTGAGTCAATAAATAATTACGCACCGATCATTGACTATAAGCAGGTCACTCTTGGCTGGTATGGTTCTGGGTCTGATTGCTTATTATCTTTCATGAAACTATCTGATAAAGACTTTAGCTCCTCAGCTTCCTCAGCTCATATGTTCCCACAGGGCGGCACATTTGGATTAACAGCATACCAAGGCGAGCCATGTTGAGTCACTTAGTATTTCTTTGAAAAGCAAAGTCTAAGACCTTCCATTCCCATCTTTTTCCTTCAATGTGGGAATACAGTATAGCATGTTTCACTTTCGATAATTATTGGTAAAAACACTGGCAAACATTGAGTGTGGTAAAAAAAAAAATCTATCTTACATTTTTAAGAGAAGTACTTCAATCACACGTTTTTATGAAGCAATGAATTATCTAGTTTTGCTAGGTAGAGTACATCATAAAATAACTGTCCTTGTTTTATTATATGTTTTATCTTTACTACCTAGCGATTCATGCATATTTAGCATATTTAAGAGTCATTATTATGGGGCATTTTATTCTTTCTCATCAACAGTAAGAAATCCTGTCCTTGAATATAACAGTATATACAAAAGCTAAATCATCCCAAAAAAGACCATCAGTACCAAACATCACGTGAGTTTTAAATGCTGAATCCAAGACATGTGCAGGAGAAAGTTTCTTTATTGCAAATTATATTGCAAATGTATTCATATGTAAAATCATACATTTCTCTGGTAACTGCACATAAAGTGCCGTTTAATAACATTTTGCTCGTTATCAGCCAGCACGAAAACAATCGTGAAAGGAACAGATCATTTCTGTTATTGTTCTGAGAAAAAATAAGAATCTGGAATTGGTTTAGAAAAATATGAAATCATACTAACAAGTGACAATATAATCCCATTAAAAAGGGAAGCATATCACTTTTTAACTTTCCTTGTCTTCATAAACCTCGACTCCTAAGACTTAACAATAAAACATTGAAATTAAGAGCAGTTGTAGATTAAAGGAAACAAATAAAAGATGTTCGTCATTGGATTTATTGGCATTTAATTGGCAGAATATATTAGAGAAGTCTGTATTTTTTATGGTTCCAGGAGGATGGAATTAACCAAAGGACAATGAAGCTTTTCTTAGCGTATTGAAGTTAAACCAACCATATAAGGTTTTCATTTAGAAGCCGCAAACCAACAGTAATAACAAAGTGTTTCATTTTCTGCTCATAGAAATATGTTTACAGTAAAACATTCAGTAATTACTTGCCGACTCGAACATCTGCTGCAATATAAGAATATATTGAGTGTATGCAGGCTTTTCCAGATATTCTGTTTATTACAGAGGAGAGTAATGAAATGAAGTTCTATCTAAGTAATGAAATTACTCCATTATGTTCAAATGACATCAAATGAAATAGCCTGAAATCACCCCTTTGAGACTAAATGCATGATATTGCTGAGTTTAAAAAAACGTGATTAATGTCAAGAAACCAAAATGAAAACTAAATGTGTCCCTTAAAGTTCACTTAAATGGTAGGAGAAATAACTTCAGATGCTGGATAGAAAGACAGATTTGAATGTCACAGAAACACTTGATCAAAGTTTGTGTCTACACCTGGATTTCTGCCTCCAATAGACTTGCAGTGTGGGGCCCTGAGTCGAGTCTGATACCCCCAACCCCAGTGTCAGAGACAACTGGTGAAGCACTGGGCGTCCTTATGGTGAGGGAAGACAGCGATGGGGAGAAATTTGGCGTCATGGCTGAAGGGGTGAGTCCTGTGTTCCTTGCTAAGGGGGAATACGCATATTTGCGGTAAGAGGACTTTCTTCTCATGCTTGGTATACGCCCTGGTTTTCGTGGAGGTACAGTCCTAATGCCAGGCTGAGCCACTCCTGTTAAAAGGGGTGGTGGGTACATGAGAAAGCTAGCCTCTGCTGCAAAGTCCTCACGTCCACCTTGAAGCTCCTCATCGGGGAGCATCCCGATATCGGTGAAAACGGAGGCCAGAGTCTGGAAGCGTGGCTCCCAGTCCAACATTTGTTCCCAGCTGTACTGTCCCTGCAGTTCCTCTTCTAGACAAACCAGTGAAGAGAGAGAATCTGCAGAGGCGTGGGCTTCTGAGAGCGGAGCATACCCATTTGTCCTCATGCTCTCCTCCAAATCCCTCACCCTAAGTATTGCAGGGAGTAGTCCCTCACCTCCACCCTCCTCTTTGAAGTGGTAGAGGCTTTCTGTGCTGGCCATTCCTGAGATAAAACGTTTATTGACAGATGTAATATGCTCTGGTCCTACATCGATGGAGTGACAGGAGATGGTGTCCCCTGGTAAAGCAGAGTCTGGGATCTCTGTGTCATGGTTGCCCTGCACAGATTCATCTCTATGGCATGTGTACTGATTAATCCACTTGATCTCCTGGTCTTCGGCTGTCTCACCTTCTGCTGATCCACGTCCGCTCGAGTCTGATGGATTGTATGGATTGGAAATCTCCCTCGTGGTATCCGGTACGCTGGGCTGTTCTATCTCCTGCAGAGGGATGGCCCTTGGGCCAATGGTTCTACCAAACGAGCCTGTGCCGTTGTTCAAGTTGACCGCAATGGCAGCAGCCTTTTTGATTGACGCTTCCTTGATCTTGTACCTGAGAACCAAGCCCACAAAAATGAGGAGCACAAGGAGGAACATGATTAGCGAGATACTCAAACTAAGCATATGTGCATCAAGAGGAACCCCCGTGAGGGCCTCTGCTGAGCTGGAGATGTTGACCAAAACTAGGCAGGCGGTGGTCCTGGAAGCCAATCTGGGACTACCTGCAGACACGACCAGCTCCACCATATCTTCTTTAGCATAGGGGCTTCTTCTGCGATACACAGGACCCGACACAAAAATGGCCCCAATTGTTTTGTTTATTGAGAAAAACTGTGATGACTTCACAAGGGAGTACTCCACCATCCCGTCCACCCCTCCATCATGGTCCATCGCCATCACATAACCGACTGTCTCTCCAAGCTGGGCGTTTTCTGGCAGGAGGAATTGGTATCGCTTTTGGGTGAAGACGGGACTGAACTCATCCACTCCTTTGATGGTCACCTGAACTCTCACCGTAGCTGCTTTGTCCCCTTTGTCTCTGGCCTCCACGACGAAGCAGTATTCACTCTCTCGTTCGTAATCAAAGGTATGTCTGGTGTGAATGTCTCCTGTTAGAGGGTCGATGGCAAAGGCCTCCTTCTTCTCGGGACTGCCACTGCCATAGTCCATGAAGCAAGAGGACACAATAGAGTAGGTGAGCTGGCCATAGGGGCCTAAGTCATTGTCCACAGCATGGACAGAACAGGTGTGGGTAAACGCTGGGAGGTTCTCCAGTACAGAACAGTTAATGGTAGGGAACATGAAGTATGGAGTGTTGTCATTGACATCCAACACTGTGATGAAGACCACAGTAAAAGCCACTTTACGTTCTTCAGATGAATCACCACCATCAGATGCTCGGATGGTGAGGGTATATTTTGAGTCTTCCTCATAGTCAAGTGAGTTGTTGACCACCAAAAGGCCAGACTGAGGGTCTAACTTGAGGTGACCTTTGCTGTTCCCTGAGATAATGTCGTACCGCAACAGGCCGTTGGTTCCCAGGTCAGGATCCTGAGCACTGACCTGGACCAGCCTGGTACCTACAGGACTGTTTTCACTAACCTGTGCATGGTATCCTGTGCTGGAAAAGACAGGGGTATTGTCATTGCAGTCTGTCACAGTCACCATAACGACAGCAGAGCTGTTCAGTGGAGGAGTTCCTCGATCAGACACACTCACTGTTAGTGTGTAGCTCTCCTTGGTCTCACGGTCCAAAGGGTTACACAGAACCAGTTTTCCTACGTTTCTCATCTGATTCTCAACCTGAACCATTTTTACTTCCAGACAGAATCGCCTCTCCTGATTTCCCCTGACGATGGTGTAGTCCAAATGGGTGTTTTCTGGGCTCCAGTCTTGGTCCTCTGCAGAAAGTGTCAGTAGCGTGGTGCCTGTGGGCATGTCCTCTGGGACAGTGAGTGTAAAGATGTCCTGGAGGAACAAAGGTGCATGGTCGTTGGTATCCAGAATCAGCATATCTACGGAGGTGACAGTGGACTGCACAGGATCGCCTTCGTCTCTGGCCTCCACCAGCAGATGGACCAGGTTGCTATTTGTGATGGCCTTCAGGGGCTTTTTGGTGAAAATAGACCCTGCAAGACAAAACATGTTTTCAGGAGTGAATCAATTGTCATTATTATAAGATGTACTAACCAATACTTTTTATAATGTATCCAATGGCAAAGTTAAATGAAGCTTTTAGGATACTTTACATTATTCTTGTTGTTTTCAACCTAACTGTACAATACCCTATTTTTGGTAGATTTGTAATCATAGCGGAAAATATAACACGCTCAAAAGACCCAGATATTTCTGTTGGTAGAAAGTAAATTCAAGTTAAAGGTCGGATTTAAACATGACCCCAGATGAATGACAATGTTGCTTTGTGTCGACCAAAGTGTGAATAGGCAACTGTACTTAAAAGGAGATTTCACTGTCCAAGTAAATCTTCTACTAAAGTGTGTTTCAGTTTTATTCAAACAATATATTGCAGCCAGTCATTAAGCAGTCTTTCTGAAGTAACAAAAATGATGGATGACTTTACAAATACACTTTCACAGATTGTTCCAAACATGTCTGCTTGTAAGGCAATATATTAAAAGTTAAATCAAAATGGTCTCTGTCATTAGACACCACAATGCACTATAATTTCCTGTGTGATTATTATTGAATGAATTCCATGTGCAGACTGAGAGCAAATGTCCCTCTTGGATAACAATAAGGTGTTTGTCTTTTCAATGTATTGTTCCACTTCACTGCCACTTCAATTTTTGTACATGATGACTTCATTCACTATACTCCAAAGCAGAACTGTTCATTGTTAGTAAACAAATATGCATTGAGAGGCACTTCACCACAAAAACCATCACATTAACATTTCGGTTTTAGAGGACTTTTGTCAACATTGCAATTTTCATTGGTGCTGGTCACCGCAAAATGGAGGAAATATATTTATTTAAATATCAAACTCTGGAGTTCAATGATAGATGCCCATGAATCATTCTTGAGTGGAAAAGACTAGCCAAAAATGAGGAGCAGTGGTTTATTTTCAGTTCTGTAGGATTTATCTTCCCGCTAATGTTTAGACATTTTAAAAAGGGAGATACTAGGATAGGCATGGCTCCTCTGAAGCACTTTATCTCAATTACTTCTAATTGCCTTCTCTGCTGCTTCTCTTCCCACTGCCCCAGAAACTCACTTGCACATCCAAGAATATGAAAAATATATACACTAGAGAAATATACTGCGATTGGCAGAATGACAACTCTGATATTGTTTGCTGAGCTGCTCAGAACCACGCATAGACTTTATCCGCACCCTTTTTTTGGCCTGTTCCCTTTTTTCGATGCCAGAAAAACTTATTTTAAACTTTAAAAGAGGGAAGAAGAGGGTAGAGTATACAAATCAGACCACTAGACAGTCATAAAACGTGTAAAGCCTACATGTAGGTAATGTCTTTACAGAAAAACTGCAATCTATTTTGGATAATTGTTTTATCCTTTTGGTGACTTCTTAACCTGTCCCTTTTCTATATATGTGTAAACAGCTACTGAGGGTTTACTGTCAATGAAAGCTTGTTTGGAGCTATTGTAGGATGTTTTTTCCATCAGTAAAGCAGTAAAACTATCTCACCATTGTCTGGCTCGATGTAAAAGCCTTGTAAAGGAGATGAAAGAAGCCTGTAGGTGATCTTCCCATTGAGTCCAGCGTCTCTGTCGGTAGCAGACACTGACAAGATGAACGTGTCTGCCGTAACCAACTCTGACAACTCCACCTTGAACAGAGAACAAATAGTAAGTCACATCTGAAGAAAGATTATGATGTAAAGTCTATATCCAGTCAATTACCACTTTCTTATAAGGTTAATACATTTGTTTTACTGCTCCAGAACTCAACATTTGTAAGAAGGACTTTTGAGTTGTACGGTGTAATAACTCTTTAATTCAGAGGATCCTTCAAATGGACAGTCCCACTTCTATTTAGAAAAACAGAAACATTCAAATAATTCAGTCAACATTTTGACATTTTTTAAAGTTCTGACTTGATTTTTTTAGTTCTGACTTTTATGGAGTTTTTGAAGTGGAAGAATCGTTCAATTAACTAATATTTGTCAAAACACAACTGGTGGCGTTGTATAACGTGCCAACCTTGTGACCATTTATTTAAAGTGTGCTCCACCAGGTTAAGAAGTCAAAGTCAAAGTAAACTTTATTGTCAATCTCAAAATATGTTTGTGCACACAGAAAGATCGAAATACTGTTTCCCACAGTCCCGAGGTATAAAATAAAATAAAGGATATCAATATAGATATAAAATATGTATATACAATAAGTGCTATAGAACTATAAGAAGTGTTGTTTACCCAACACATTTCCACTATGTGAAATGTAGGATACATTATTTCTTGAGATTGACCTAAACTAAAGAAAGAAAAGTAAGCTGCTTTTAACTACCCTGCTTTTGGACCAGTCTTTTCTTTTCTTTTTTTTTTTAAATCTGCCTCATGTGAATTCTCCGACTTTATGAAAGTGACAGACCAAACCACAGGAGTGTCTCTTTGATGACATAAGGAGTATGCACCAAAACAGAACAAGTTATACTGAAGTATAATGTGCACCAGACACATGTTTTTTATAACCCTGTAACCAAAAAGTAGTTCTTCTTAATCACTTTAATAAAACATAAAAAAATAACGTAAACTTCCAAATGTAATGGAAGGTTACACCTTCTGTAATTTCACAGTAATACCATGCATGTACTGTGTTATTCATGGCATTGTGACACACACCAGTATGTATGTGTACCTTTAATCTTCTTCAACACATATAATAATTTGTACCTGGTAGGAAACCTTGGTGAAGACTGGAGCGTTGTCATTGACGTCAAGCACTTGAACTTTGACCTCTCCAGTGGTCTGGTGGAGGGAATCAGAGGCCCAGACTACCACGGTGTACTCTGTCTGCTCCTCATAGTCCAGGGCCTGAGTCAGGGTGACTACACCAGTATATTGATCAATGGCAAAGGGGTCATTGAGGCTATTGTTGCCTGAAAAGCTGAAGGTGATGGTCGAGCTCAAGTCCACATCATTGGCAGTGACCTGGGTGACCATGTAACCTGCTGGCAGATCTACAATACCAAAGAAGATGTCAAAATAAGTCTACAAACAGACAAAGAACAAACGCAGTGTTTATATAGTGTTTATCTATGACAGCAGTAGTGCTTACTCTCTGCTATAACTACAGGCTCCATGGGGGGGATGGCGGGGCTGTTGTCATTGACGTCCACCACCTGGACCCTGATGGTGGTGGTGCTGCTGAGCGGAGGGTTCCCCCTGTCTGCGGCCCGCAGGACCAGTCTGTAATATAAAATGTAATAAAAAATGAATGATGGCACTTTGGATATTATAGCTAGGTAGTTTATGTTTTATGCAGGGCTGGAATTGTATGGGATATTGTACTCTCAATAACAAGTGAGGACATTAAAAGAAACACGACTTTCACTCGAGCAGACTTTTGAGCTGAACTACTTTGAGCTACAATATTTAAAGAAGCAAGCAGTGCCAAATATAAAATAAATATAAAGTCTTGCATACAAATCCTAATAAAGATAAAACATAGATTATTTGGTCAACATGGAACAACTACAGCTTCTGCAAGGGTTTGACAAAGTGTCAAAGGCAGAAACTCTTATTATAATTAAATGGTTTGTTGCTAAAAATGTAAACATGTAATACAGATAACTTTAAACATTGACAAAATATACCATGGATATTTGAAGTAAACTCACTTAGGCTGCTTATACAGAGACTATCTATGAGAGGATGGCACAATTTAGTTCAAGTAAAAACGTATACATTTATTCTGTCTCAAGTATCATACTTTCTAGAAATAGTAACATATTTATTTTTTAAATCGATGTCATCGTACTTGTATGAAGGGGTGATCTCGCGGTCCAGCAAGACATTGGTAGCAAGAATCCCACGAACAGAGTCCAAGACGAACGCTTCGTTAGAGTTACCGGACACCATGGAGTAATCAATCTGTCCGTTTACCCCGCTGTCAGCATCAGACGCAAACATCTGCAAACATGTGGGTGTTTAATGACCTCTAAACACCAATCATCACAACTAAATATATGATACCTGCTTGGTATTTCTAATGTCAAAGGGTTTAATATTCATAACATCTACCTGCATGATGTAGGTGTTGTGCACCTGCCCCTCCCAGACAGCTGTTCTGTAGCTGCTGTGTTCAAACACCGGTGCATTGTCATTGACATCCAGCAGGCTGATGGAGACCCTGCAGTGGGCCGTCTGCAGCCTGCTGTCAGCCAGCACCACCAGATGGATCTCAGCGCTCGCCTCAAAGTCCAGGGAGTTATCTTTCTGCACCCGGATCTCACCTGGAGGAGAGGAATAAGCCATTAGTAAGACATATCCCAAAGACTGTGATAACCCAACATCAGACACTGGTAAAGCTCTTTCTATGTCGATATTAAAAAAAATGTAAAGGTCCCATGTCATGCTTGTCATCCTTATTTTCTCAGCTGCAGCTCCGCGGATTTCTCATCCTGGACTCAGCCTGAGACAGCGGGACAAGGCGACTCGGCGAGGCCCGGCCCCGGTCCGAGCACACACACAAACCCACAGTCAGGCTGCGGGTCTGTGTGTGCTCGGGCCGGGCCTCGCCGTGTCCCGCCGTCCCGCAGACCCCACGCAGCAACCAGGAAACAACACCAGCAAGCCAGCTCACACTGTCCGCTCCAGCAGTGAGCCCCGCAACGTCCCGCCAACACGGCACCCAGACCCCACGCAGCATTCTCACCTCTGTCATTACTGGTGTCATTTTCTGGTTGCTAACGCCATTGTAACACATAATCACTGATGTTCCGCTGTAACGGTGGTGGACTCATCAGAACAGAGTGGGCGAGCTGACCAATCAGAGCAGAGTGGGCTCACAAGGAGGGGGGGGGGCAGGAGCTCCAACACGCCGTTTAGGACAGAGTGAATACACATACTATACAGAGATACTGTATGAGAAACCAATGTGTATTCTAGTTATGATCAGTAGAAATGGCCATGACATGGGACCTTTAAATCAAATAGGAGGAAAGCAATTGAAACAAAAACATGAATCTTCATCGATTAAGAAAGGTGCTGACAGAAGCATATTTAGGTTCAAGTTTTTGTGATGACCTTAAGAAAGTATTTGTTCCTATGTCAGTATAATAATGTGTTTAATTGTATCTTACATACTACGTTATGCTAACATGACTCCAAAAAAGAGTTTGCTTAGACTATAATACAATCAGGCAAACAACCAGATGAACCAGATTAGTTCAAAGAGCATTTTAAAAAGAGAAACGGAAAACAACAAGGGTTTTCTTATTGGTTGTACTACATAAACAATTTAAGGCTGGAAATCAAAAGTCATTTTCTGGATGGTTTTGTGGAAAATAAAATGGATGAGTGAATGATAATTTGAGCTTTTAGCATAACTGAAATTATGAAAGCATGGATAATGTTCCTGCATATAACAGAAATACCATCTGCTAATCATAAACAGTGAACTCCAGCAACAACTTTGGATAGACGGTGAGAAAAAAGGAACAAAAGCAATGTTTTCCGTTTCAAGATTTCACGTTTCTTACCTGTGTGACGGTTGATGGAGAAAACATCATTCTCATTGCCACTAAATATGTTGTATGTGATCCTTTGTCTGCTGTTGGTTTGGTCACTGGCCTCCACTTTTGCAATCCAAGTGCCTTGACAAAAAGAGGGTAAAAAGGTTGATGAGGTTTTAAATCAGTGAGATCAGTGAAAAAAGGAAGAATAAAGAGGGTTAAAACGTACCAGCTCTGCTGTTCTCGTTGACAGTAGCATTGTACACTTTATTTGTGAACTGCAGTCCTTCGTGTTCTCCCTTGAGATACATGAAAACCAGGCAGGTGGAGGTCAGAGCAGGTTGTCCTTTGTCTGAAACCAGAACCTGCAGCTTCCTCTCAGAGAAACCTGCTCTCACTCGCCTTCTCAGTGAAATATCTCCAGACTCGCTGTTGATGTCGAACAGGTTTTCCTCATCAGACAACGTAAACTGAATAGTCCCGTTGTCACCCTGGTCTCCATCTGTTGCCGACAGCGTGGCTACTATCTGGTTTGGTAGAGTCCTCATAGAAACCCATGCGTTGATGGGATTCTGCTCACAGATTGGCACGTTGTCGTTCACATCCTCCACCTGAATGGTCACCGATGCCACAGAGCTCAGCGGCCCCTGAGAGCAGCCATCAGTGGCCACAGCTCTGAAGGTGTACTGGGCCCTGCTCTCTCTGTCCAGAGCCCTGGTGGAGCGGATCACTCCTGTGAAGGCGTCCACTGAGAAGGCCCCCTGGCTGCTGTCCTCGGTCAGAGAGTAGGTCAGCTCCCCGTTGGACCCCTCGTCAGGATCAAAGGCGCTGACCCGCAGCATCTCCTCTCCCGCAGGTAGGCCCTCGCTGACGGAGGCGTGGTAGCTCTTACGGGTGAAGGAGGGGATGTTATCGTTCTGGTCCAGCAGCAGCAGCTGGAGCTGGGTGGTGGAGCTGAGCGAGGTGGGGCCATAGTCCCGGGCCTGTATGGTGAGAGTGTAATTCTGCCTTTCCTCGCGGTCAAGGACCTGAGTGGTGCTGACAGCCCCTGTGTGGCTGTTGATGGTGAAACGACCTCTGTAGTCCTCACCTAAAGACAGTGGAAAGAGATTATAGAATACATCTGTTAAATCACAGCTTCGGAGTATCTTTGTAGATTTGTTCATCACCTCTATCTATAATGGTAGCATTGAACTCACCAAAGTAATAGCTGGGATTTTGACAACGAGTGGTCAAGCATTTCAAAAGACTAAAGATAAGCTAGATTATCTAGATCAGTGGTTTTCAAAGTGTGAGGCGCGCCTCCCTGAGGGGGCGCCATAGAGCTTCAGGGGAGGCGCAGCGTGAGAAATAAATAACGAGAAAAAGACGAGTATGCTTTCAATACTTGGCTGTCTGTGGAGACCGAGTTCCCCCACCTCGCCAAAAAGGCTGTAAAAGTGCTCATTCCCTTCACCTCCACCTACCTGTGTGAGTGTGGGTTTTCCACATTGACTTTGATAAAAAGAAAGTGCCGGTCAAGGCTGCAGCCCGAGGATGATCTGCGTTTATTCCTGTCTACATTGCATCCCCGCATCATCCGCCTGTGCGCATCAAAGACGCAGACTCATTGTTCCCACTAAAGTAGGGGTGAGTGTAATAAGGAGGCAAAGTTGACGTTCAGTGTGTTGCCGGGAGCATATAAGGATTTATCTACAATGTTGAAAATGTTTAAAATGTAAAAAAATAAATATGTAAAGCATAAAGATAAAAAGGTCAGTGAGTCAGCACGATAGATTCAAACACAGAGACGAGACAAGAAGAGAGAAACAGTCGGAGTAATTTCAAATGGCGTGCTCAAAAAAGAGAAAGGTAGACAGCGGAAACAGAGCATTTAATTACATTTTCTCTTACTGGACCTCTTTGAAATGCAATTGAATACCCCTGCATTATAGCAACAACAACAATAATAATAATAGCAATAATAATTGGGAGGGGGGGGGCGCGGCTGTTCTTATGTTCTCTGAGGGGAGGCTCACCTTCCCACACTTTGAAAACCCCTGATCTAGATCATTTTCATTGAATGTAAAACCTAATATGTTGTCATTACACAGACATTGGTTGGTTTAACTTTACAGGGAAGGATGTTAACATGGGTAGTAGTAGTAGTAGTAGTTTGGGTGGAAATGTTCTTCCGTTTTCTCTTCTAAATCATTTTTGGCTTACCTCAGCATGTGTTAAAACCTGTTTGCTCGCTTAGTTTCTTTCCCTTTTAGACTTATTTTTCACATGTCTAGGAGTTCCCAGATCTGAGCTATTGACTTGGTGAGTATAATGTTAGTTCCAATAACATTTTTGCAAAAACTATCAAATTGTGATCCAATTAGCTTGACATACAGAGCAATATTCTGGGTTCCTTACCTAAAATGGAGTAGTGTATAGTTCCATTTTCTCCATGGTCTGGATCCGAGGCCTGAGCAGTGTGCACCACTCCAGGAGGGAGGTTTTCTGGCAGGCTGATCTGGAACGATGACTGCATGAACTCCGGAGGGTTGTCATTGTCGTCCAGCACCGAGCACAGCACTGTGGCCGTCCCTGACAGAGGCCGCGTGCTGCTGTCACGAGCCTGGACTGCACACAGGAATCAAAAGGAATCAAAAGCATGCTAAAATGTGCTAATTTGTAACACTTAACACACAAAATAACAAGTGAGGCTGGTAGGAATGCCATTACGCTTGCATGTTTTTGGTCTGAACGTGTGGGACACATACTAATTTCAGCCGAGGGTTGAGCTACAGGTAAAGTCCAGTGTATAACAAAGTATTTTAGATTCATCCACTATCTGTGCCACATTATATGCAGAAACATGTTGTTGAGTTGTCTTGACTAAAGTAGAAGACTGACTGACAGACCAAACGACTGATAATGCCGTCCATAGAGCCGTCCCGAAAGTACTTTAATATGAAATGGGAGGTCAAAGATGCAGTAATTTACTGTAGCTTTATATGTGAAACATATGTTTTACATGTGACAATCTACACAGTATGGAAAAATACAGTTTTTCTAAGAGGTCAAAACTCTCTGCTGACCAAAGACTGATGCCAGATTAGATTTTAATGGCAGTACAGACCTTGAAAGGGAAATAAATATATACAATAAAAGTCCTGTCAAGATAACTTATACTGCAACAGTTTTTAATACAAGCTGAAAATAACTTTTCTTTCTTTCCAAACTTATCCTCAGCCAGAGAAAATTATCCCCACATATTTTTGTATTTCCCAATAAGCCTTGCATGATTTTGGCAAAGCTTCAAGACATTTATTCTTTCCTGTTATTATATGTTGTTGTATTATGTTTAATCAAACTGCTGACTGTACAAATATCACGATAAAACATCTGAAAGCAATCACTAAACACCAATGAATAGCTTGAATGTAATTGCAGTGTATTCCCACGACAGAGTGAAAGCAAACACTTCAAAAGGCATAGTGTGCCGTCAGTAGAGGTTAGATAAACTGTACCTCAGCCCTTTAAAAGTCTACTGTTTCCTTAACATGAATCAAACTGCTGAATTATGTTGCCCTGAAACAACGACCTTGAATTCTTTATGACTCTGGCTGTGAAGCATGTCAAGGGAGAAGGTAGAGAATGAGAAACAGAGAAAGAAATATCTGTGTTTGCTAGAGACTTTATATGTTTTGTTTTAGCCGCTTTAGGCCATTTTATAACCCTTTTAGTGAGAATATGTGAGCCAAACATTGACTTAACTGTGCAGCAAAGCTGGAACAGTGAATACAAAGAATAGAATCACAGACTTTTAAATATTTGGATGTGCTTATATTCTCACTTCATGCAGTAAATCCAGATCACAGCCATAGATGATACACGTCTTTCTGGTCAATACAACTTGCAGACAACATGGTTAACGTCCATCTGGTAATTGTGAAATCAACATTACAGTTTTTTTAAAACCATCAACAATTCATTGTGATTGATACAGACCCGGCGCCAGATCAAATCTACAGAGAGGGCATATGATTTTCATGGGAGGGCACACAAAACCGTCATGTGCCGACGCCAGATATTTTCTTTTGGGGGTGCTGTGGGGTAGCTTGACGTTTCATAGAGGGTGCTCAAACATGTAGGGTTTCCCATTAAGGTACCGGGCGCTACAGTTGAATTTTCTACTGCAACACTCCCCACACGCACACACACAGTGTACCTGCAACAGTTACAATGAAGGCTCCATAATCAGCTCACGGCATATAGGTGTAATCAGGGGTAAAGTGCTATTTTTTTAAGTGGGGGGCGGACCCAACCTCCTCTAGGGGGGTCCAGGTGCATGCTCCCCCGGGAAGATTTGTTTTTTAAATACTGAAGTTAAAAGCATCAATCTGGTGCACTTTGAGAGCAACATGAAGAGATCTATGGATACATATCTCAACACCTATTTGAAACAGAACTGTAAACAGATTTTCAATTTCTTTATGGATATTTTACAAATCACTCCCCTTTTAAACTGTATTCTTGTTTTACTGTCATATAGTATTTCATAACTGTTTTTAATTTATTACTCTTATATTACTATCTGACATCACATACATCGTAGCAATAAAGTTCACAGTTTATTTATATAAAATAAACTGTGAAATGGGAGGGCCTGGCCCTGGTCTGGATTGATAGCACTTTCCCAACTTGTAAAAACTCTTTGTTCCTCGTTGACATTGCATCATGGGCACTTTGATTAATTTCAGCTTAGAAAACATTCGATGTGATAAATCATCTACTCACCTGCTGAGCTCAACCAATCAAAGTGTTATCCATGTAGCTCCAAAATGGCTGTTTTAACAATTGACTTGACCATTAAATAAGTGGCCTTGGCTGTGTGCCACTTCTCATATTCCTTTGGCAGTTAAATTAAGCTTAAAACAATATTAATAAAGCTTCCTCTGGCGTGAACAGAAGCATCTTTTATTTAAAGTAAGGTAGGGAGCTTATGTGCATGTGTTTTTGACTTACACAGGGTTTTTGAAAGGGCAGGATTTTATTAAATCACATGTTACACTTGTGCAAAAGATGATCATCCAAACAGTTTAGCAACAAAAGGGTGTTTCAGAGAAGTTATGTACACTGCTGTGTCTGTCAGCTGCAATTATAACCGCTTCTAATCCTATTTTTAATCCTAATCTTTTGTTATATTACCATATTCTATTCAATATGCTCCTTAGATAACTTTTTATTTTATTTGTTTTATTATTTTCTCCTTATAGCATTGTTATATGACGTTGTGCTATATACATGAAATGTATTATTATTATTTTAAATCCAGGCTTTTTTTGTTGCTGCTTTTGATAAGATAACATAACTATTTTACACTGTACATATCTGTTTTATTCAATTTTTTTTACATTCTCTTAATGACTGTTTTGAAATGTTTTTTGTGATGTGATTCCATTGCACTATATCAAATGCTCTTAAGGTTTACTTTTTGTAAAGCAATTTTAATTTGAAACTTGCCTTGCCTGACAACAGGTTTGAACAGTGTGTGTTTATGTGCTTGGGTTTTACCTCTGAGAGTGAAATGCTGCTGCTGCTCTCGGTCCAGGTGGGAGGCGGTGGCGATCAGACCGGTGTACGGGTTGATGTTAAAGAGCTCGTAGCCGGGTCCGGGCAACAGGCTGTACCACACCACGGCATTCTCCTCTGGAACATAAGAGAAAAATGTATATTTTACATTACATTAAAACTAGAAGCACTAATATAAACAGAAATATATTAAAATAGAAATCTCTAAACAAAGTGTTGAAAGCTTATTTTGTGGATGTATACATTTCTTTTCTGGAGCTAAGTGAGAAAATATGTTTTTTCTTTGTCATTTGACTAAAACAACATGTATGCTGGTTGTATCTCAGGATAACAATTTCCCTGCCAATGGTTCTATAACTCCAATTTGATTAGAAACAGTGTTTTCATCCATCTGAAAAGGGCGTTGAGTGACCATGTCAAGAACTCAAAAAAGCCCTGCTGATCAATTTAGACTTTAGTCTTTTGTGCGCAGACAGAACTGTAAAACCTTTGAATGACACATGCTCATTCCTATGTTATTGCATTTATGATATCATTTTGCCACAGAGGACAGAAAAGTTTTTTTTTTTTTTTTTAAACTCATAACATTTGCTGAACAAAGTGAAGTCCAGGCCACGCAGAGTACTACAAAGGTTAGCTGTCACGCGCTGATATTGCACATCTCTGACTGACTCCAACACATGGAAACTGGATACACAGGCACAAAACAATGGTCAACTTTGGGGAGCATTGGGGGGGAAAGCAACACAAATGATAATCAAATCAGACTGGTGGGAGAGCGGGCTGCGCTGCCAGACGAGGCGATTCGAGGAGACGGATGAAAACACGGCGTCTATTGTCACAGATGGCTTGGATTATGGAAATCATCATGAGAGAAGACCTTTCAAATCTCCCTGAGGATCTGTGTGCTTGCTGTTCTTGGACAATTCTCACCCCCAAGAATTCAAAGTTCACATTGAAACCCCTCCTGTACAGATCGTCCTGCCACATGCCCCTCCACCTCCACTGTTTAAAAGGATTCCTACTGTCAACATGATGGGATGAAGTGGGATATAGGAGGCCCTGTGCACAACGTGTTAAAATAAACAGGACTGATGTGTGGATTTGTGACTAATATTAGGGTTCAGATTAATGAGATTTGCTGGGCTATACAGTGATCATGAAAAAGACACAAATGGTACAACATGAGGGAAAAAGGGACAAGGGTTGGTTTGAATTAAAGTGCTAATGGACTGAAAAAAAACAGACGATAACCTCGATTCACTGCAGCGCTGAACTTTAACCCAAACATGGCAGAGTGAGCTGCTGCTAGACTGTGCTCTGTCATGTGGTACTTAATACAAACGAACTACAGTATTACACTAAAGCTAAAACAGAATAATGTTTTAATAGATTCAATATATCATATATTTTCAATACAACAGGGTTTAATGCAACAGAAAAGGAAACAAGACAACTGTTCATGTCTTCATAATTTACAAAACATTATGTTGGAGGTTAGACGCTTTAGCAAGAGTTTAATTTAATTAAGTGTAAGTATTTGGTTTTATGCATCTTGAGTCAGTGGTTTTGAGGCCTCAAGGACACATGATAGTGCTGCCATCTAGGCCCTTTAAAGGCGTACTGCTATCTTCAGCTCAGAGGGATTATTTGAACTTGTATGCGACTGGATGAAAACTGCAGCTCATCTGAGTTTCTAAGAACCAGAACATAAATAATAGTTAGAAGAATAGAAGAATGAAAACTCACTTTATTTTCTTATAATTTCCAAATTCATCTGTCCTTAAATGTCAAAAAATAATATCTTGTTGCAGCCATTGATTATATAGAATGGTGTTTAACATTTACCTGAGAGCCTTAATCCTACTTTACCATGTATTTAATAACATGAAAAAGCTTACAAGTATTACCTGAGTCTGTATCAGTGGCAGAGACCCTGACCACTGGCTCTTCAGGGTCTCTGTTCTCCGCCACACTGGCGTTGTAGATGCTCTGACTGAAGACGGGTGCCTGGTCGTTCACATCCCCCACCTCCACTGTCAGAGTCTGGGTGGAGGAGAGCGAGGGCAGCCCGCGGTCTACCGCACGCACGGTCAGGCGGTGGAAACGCTGAGTCTCATAGTCCAGAGGGATTGAGAGGAAGAGGAGGCCTGGAGAAGATGGAAGAGGATCAAACAAGTCTGTTGGTCTCTAAAACTTGCAAGTAAAAGTGGCTCAAACTTTCTGAACGTTATTTGGAACATAACAAATCACAAAACCCACTGATTTATCAGGATGTTTGTAATACATTTTAACATTTACTGTTGCTTACGGTATGTCGTCACACATAAGACAATTATTTAAATAAAAATGAAAGCCTGACCAATATTGGATGTCTAAAGCCAATACCAATAGTGTATCTATCTATCTATCTATCTATCTATCTATCTATCTATCTATCTATCTATCTATCTATCTATCTATCTATCTATCTATCTATCTATCTCTCTATCTATCTATCCATCTATGTATCTATTTATCCATCTATCTATCTATCTATCTATCTATCTATCTATCTATCTATCTATCTATCTATCTATCTATCTATCTATCTATCTATCTATCCATCCATCTATCTATCCATCTATTTATCTATCTATCCATCCATCTATGTATCTATCTATCCATCTATCTATCTATATATCTATCTATCTATCTATCTATCTATCTATCTATCTATCTATCTATCTATCTATCTATCTATCTATCTATCTATCTATTTATCTATCTATCTATCATTAATCCATACCCTGTGAGAATCCTACCTGTTTTCTCCTCCAGTGTGAACAGTCCTTCCTTGTTTCCAGCGATGATGATGAAGGAGACGACCCCGTTTTCACCCTGATCTCCGTCTATGGCTATGAAATGATGCAGCAGAGTCCCCACTTCTGCGTCCTCCATCACCTGAACTGTGTCCGCTGATACAAACACCGGCCGGTTATCGTTCACATCGAGCAGGAACACCTGAGCCGTCACTGACGTCTGCTTCCTCTCCTCCTTCCTCTTCGCCTGGTCGGTGGCGGTCACAGTGAAGGCGTAGCTGGGGTTGGTCTCTCGGTCTAAAGGTGCTGTTACAGTCAGGCTCCCCGTGAGAGGGTTGATCTGAAAGGGGAAGCGGGATGATCTGCTGAGTTGAGGGTCAAAGGTCAGGGAGTAGCGGAGGGCACTGTTAGGAAAAGTCCCGTCAGCGTCCCTGGCATGAAAAGCAAACGCCAGCGATCCTGACGCAGCGTCCTCCGGCAGGCCCAACATCACCAGTTTGTCAGGGAACCAGGGTGTTTGGTCGTTCACATCCTCCACCATCACACACACCAGCACGGACATGTTCACTCCGGGGCCGAGACCCGCGTCCTCAGCTCGCACCATGAGGAAGTACTGCATGGCCGACTCGTAGTCCAGCGGCTGGTTGATGTAAATGTCACCAGAAGAGCTGTCGATGCCGAAGTGAACGCTGCCGTCGCCCTCGGAGATGGAGTACTGGAATCTCCCTTTGTATGAAACCCCAGCAGAGCCGATGACAGTCGCTGGCTCCGTGTCTTCCTTCACCGTGAAACGCCTCATGGTTTGCTGGTTAGTTTGGCTGTAGAGAGCCTCTAATTCATGAACCTGCAGGTCAAACACATACACTGTCAGACAATAATGTCAGAGGAGTAACAGTAATATTATAATAAGAGAAAACACTAGAAAAAATACAAAATATGGGGCGATAGAGACAAAAAAGCAATGAAGTGAGTCCCTTTAGGGACAAACATTTCAAACTCTTAGAATATAAAACTAAACAGCCTGTGCTTTAAATTAAGACTTTGATATAAAGCCTCTTTAAAATGATAATAAATGTCTCCCTCCGGTGCCAAACATGGGCAACTTAGACATCGGTTTTTCTTATGGAAAATCATAAAATTGTACAATTTGGGTCTGTACATTTGTAAAAGTGTCTAGAGCATATATCATGCAAAGGATGGAGTTCAGTTTAGTTTAATTACTTTTGTTTTGATTTAAATAGATCATTTTGGATGAAATATATTTTTTAAATCATATTATTTCCTAAATGAACGCATTTAGGACCTTTGGGTATTTAATGTCCCTGCGCAAACTACAATGGGATTGTTATCATTTTAAAGTCACAATCACAGGATACAAGCAGAGAGTAATGACTTTATGAACATGCTATTGAAGAGACAAGCATAACAAATAACCGTATATATCAGTTCTACAACTGAGGCAGAAACTGATGACCGTTTACTTTACTGGAACGGAACAAACTTCAATATGTTGTTTTTGAAAACAGAGAAAGGCAGACTGTTAAAAGGGCATCGATACTACGGTCATTTATACAATTGTAAGTCATATAAGTATCATACAGATATAAAATATATATTCACTGACAGCATAAAGTGGAGGGATGATCGTACCTGTACATGAACAACTGCAGTGTCCTCCAAAGGCTGGGCTCCGCTGTCCTTGGCACTGACTCTCAGAGTGTAGTATGGTTTGGTGTTATCAGTAAAAAACTCTGTTGTTCTCATGTCTCCGCTTTCATTGTCGATCTCAAAGTGTTCGAAACCATCATCCTCTGAATCAGCTGAGAGAAACACAGGACGATGATACTCAGGAACTCATCAATAATACTGTAGAAGTGCATAACAATGATGTACATGTCTTACCTGAGACCATTGAGAAGGTGACTGTTCCATTTTCTCCTGCATCTAAATCTTTGGCAAACATGTTTGTCACCAAGGATCCTGCAGGTAGCCCAGCCCATATCTGCATAAAGAGAGGAGCATGTATTATTAAAAAAACATATCAATAACTCTGCACATTTAAAAGATGTACACATATCTCTGGTTAGGACTTCTTTCCTGCTTTGTAGCAAGTAATGCTTATGCATATTCAGATGTTTTATATCACTATGGCTATAGACACATGGAAGTTATTAGTCATATTAGTCATCTGAAAATTAGGGCTGTTTTTCTGTCCTCATAATTTATCACATCAACACCATAATAAAACACGAAAAAATTTAAAACAAATTTGAATAATGTGAATAATATGATTTATTGAATTAGTCTTTCCTTTAGTACATCAACTTTGAATGCTTCTTATAGGATAGGAAAAGGACAACACACAGGTAAGATTATAACAGGTTAATCAGTGTTTCCCACAGATCTGAAATATACTTGGGCGGGTGGTGGCAGCGGGCGGGGGGGGGGTGCGCGAAAAAAAAAGTTTTAACGACATGTTTATTTATTGACTTTTCATTCCTGCTTAATCATTTTGCGGAAAGATGGCACTGTTTGTCAGAGCACTTCATCCTTCTGGGATTTCATGAAGAACAGCTCCAACGCCTGTGTGTATGGGAACGCCTCTGGTGCTGGGGGGGGGGGGGGGTTGAGGTGACGTGCAACAACATTAACATTAACCTTTCTGTTGGTCGCTTGTTAGCAGACCCTTCACGCGATGGCAGAGCGAACAGGTACAGGCAGGGCCCATAATGATAGCCCTATAGTTTAAATCTACTACCCACACATGAACATATGGAAATGGTTTACTATTTTAAAAAATAAATGTATTTATAAATGTATTTAGGAACCTATCCATGTGATTTTTTGTGGGGGTCGACCTCAAATCCTCTAGGGGGGTCCAAGGGCATGCCCCCCCGGTAAGATTTTATTTTTTATTTTGGAGTTCAATGCATCAATCTGGTGCATTTTGAGGGGAAAATAAAGAGACTATCTATGGAAACACCTATATTAAACAGAACTGTATACATTTCAATAATCATAAAATCAAGGCCATAACCAATAACATACCATTTCCAATATGAAAAAAACACTGAAACTTGTTTATTAATTTATTTTTGGTTCATTTATAGTTGTGAGTGTGTCTGTGCTCCTGAATCAGCCTCTCATGTCTCCCTCCTCTCCCCCTGCTCTGCTTTGAGGCAGCAGCAAAGACGAGTTTTCTCTCAACTAGTTTTAAAAGTGTATCTTACCTTTTTTCACCTAGTTAACTTTTTATTTATTTATTCATGCATATTTTACGAATCACATTACATTTCATTTAGCTGACGCTTTTATCAAAAGCGACTTCTAATGACCGATTACAGGGACATTCTCCCTGGAGTAACTAAGGGCTAAGTGCCTTACTCAAGGGCACACTAGTGGTGGTGTTCCTGGCGGGATTTGAACTCACAGCCTTCCGATCTTCAGCCCACCTCACTATCCATGATTAGACCAATCACTACCCTCTCAAATGGAAATATGTGTTTACATAAATGGTGACCAGACCATTTGAGACCCACTGAGAACTTAGACTAAGTTAACTATCTAAACACTCAGAGAGACCTTTACCTCACCTGAGCTGAGGTTATCCTGAGCTTGAATGACACACAGAGACCAATCAAGGGCTTTGATTTATGATCTGTATGACAGTGGCCATGTCGGCAGGCCACATCATGTGGACAGCCAGTCACCCTGTGGCAGGCCACTTAACAGGCCAGAAGGAGGCGAGATCAGAGCAAGGGAGCGAGGGATAATTGTCCACAAGTTAATCGATCGCAGATGGCGTCGTGGTCACGGACGAATAAAAAAAAAAATTATAAAAAAAAAAAAAAACCTAAATGGGTCGCGAATTATACTTGGGCGGCCGTTAATATAACTGGGCGGCCCGCCCAAGTATAGTCTATGTGTGGGAAACCCTACCTGAACATTGAGCTCCTTGTTGGCGGGCAGGTGTGTGAACTGTGGCGTGTTGTCGTTGGTGTCAGTGACCAGGATGTGAACGGTGGCGGTGGCGTTGAAGCGAGGGTGGCCCTGATCGGTCACCATCACCTTCAGACTGTGCTGGCTGTGCTGCTCCCGGTCCAACGCCACCCAGTTGATAATCTCACCTGGAAGGGAACATGAAGGTGAGGATGGCTGCGCAGGTAAGCAGAGGGCTGTTACGGTTGGCAGGGAGGATTTCAGATACAGGAAATCTCACCTCTGGCTAGCAGAAAACTTCCAGCATCATAATTTCTTTTTTAAAAGATTTTTCCTCTGTTTTCCCTTTCAATAACCTTGGACAATATGTATACAATTTACTCACACATTGGATTTGAATTAACATTTGTAATTGAAAAAAACAACTGCAACTATTTTGCACACGTGTACTGTATATATTCTTTAGTAGTAGGTGGGTCTATTATAGTTTATTTTAACCCATTTTGTATTTTGTATACTGTTTATCTTAAAGATACTCTATAGATATATATCTTTCTACTGTTAATATGTAAATATTTACATTGTATTTTTTAACTAATGTGCAATGCCTCATTAACATGCAGATGTATGAAAAAAAATCACAATTTGGGAGCAATAAAGTATGTCTAAGCTTCCCCTCAAAATGATGATATTATTCTGAATCCTTTTACCTGTTTTAGCATTGATGCGGAAGAACTTCCCATCTGTGAGCAGGATGTAGGACAGCTGGGCATTTTTCCCAGAATCCTTATCCAGCGCCTTGACGGTTCCCACCAGGCCTTGAGGCGACGGCCCCTCGGACACAGTGAAGTAGTAGACCTTGCTGCTGAACACCGGGGGGTTGTCATTGATGTCCAGCACCAGCACGGTCACTGTGGCTGTGGCCGTCATGTTCCCCAGCGAGGCCTCCGGGCCGCTGGCCAGCACTCGGAAACGAAACATGGATTCTGTCTCATAGTCCAGACTCTGGGAGAGATACAGCCATCCGGTGCTTGGGTGAACTCGAAACGGAGCAGGAGGAAATCCGGCTTCTCCCTCCAAGGAGTATGTGAGGCCTGAGTTGGACATGTGAGCCCCCCGGCTGCGGTGCGCTCTCACCTGGATGACCCTCGAGTCTTTCCTGTAGCCCTCACCTATCTCCACCTGGTAGACTAGTGTCTCGAAGGCGAGGCTGTCTTCAGCAGCGGTGCGGTCCACATTTACCGTGAGGGTCAGAGAAGAGCTCAGATATGGTTCTCCTTGATCTTTAGCCATGATTTCCAGGCTGTACCTCTGCTCATAATGCACCTTTAAACTCTGATTTAATGTAACTGTCCCCAGGTTTCGGTCAACAACAAATGTGCTGTTTCTGGAACTCTTCAGGTGATACTGCACCCTCCCATTGGCCCCGCTGTCGTAGTCGTGTGCATGAGCGATGAATAGCACTGTCCCTGGGCGTGTGTTCTGAGAAACTGTGATGCTGTCACCCAGTTTGGGGAAAACAGGAGCGTTATCGTTGATGTCAGCTATAGTGATGTTGACCTGAGTGGTGCTGTAGACTGGAGAGGTGTCGGTGAAGGACTGAAGGACCAGCAGAGCGTACGGCTGAACCTCGTGGTCCAGAGGTCTGATGTTGCTGATCAGGCCCGACTTCGGGTGAACGGAGAACAAACCCTGAGGGTCTCCAGAGGAGATCCGGTAGGACACGGATTCGGAGCCTGTGAAGACAAAGAGTTATTATTATAAACTGACATTAAAATGTCCCAGCATTACTTTAAGCAGTTCTGAATCCTCCTCAAACCAATGGACGTAAATTGATTGTTCATCTTTTATTGCTCCCAGCAATACAACATTTGTATACAATATCTAATACTTATTTGTATTGCTGATTGCTGATCATAAATTGAGGAAAAAGGTGCAAAATATGTTATTTTATGGGTTTTTTTTATGTGGGTAAACAAACTATACTAAAATAGTGCTACATTTATATTTTACAATCGTAAAAGCTGAGATCAGCAGATAAGAGACAAAAAAAGCAACATTTTAAGTCACTTATAGTTAAAGGATGGCACAATGAAAACAGTTATGGTAGGGTTATTTGAGAGTTAAGGTAAAGGAAAAAGTGAGATACAAAAAAAGGGTAGAAGGACATTTTTAAATTATGAATCAACATAGTTCATTAAGAAAATAAAGAATGATATATATAAATATATATATATATATATATTTGAAAATTAAGCCAACTGCAACTTTAAATTAGTATATTCATTTGTATGTCCAATATAGTAAAGGATTATCACAACACATGCACAGTAAGCAACAAACATTAATTACAGTACAGCTCAGAAGATTGCATTAATCTCCTCCAAGTGTTTGTTTGTCTCAAACAGTAACTATCAAACCACTGAAACAAGCTGAGAGCTTAGCGCTCCTCGACTTCTGCCAAACACATTCTGCTGTTTCCACTTTGAGTTGCAGCGCTAATCTGTTAATGGACAACCTTAAATGACTGTCTGAGAGGTGGAGAGGTTTAGCTGCTGAAGGCTAAGAGGTGTGGAGGTGCCTAACACGAGGACTATAAGGAGATAATCCTGTAAACTGGGGTGTCGGGAAACTCTCCAGAGAGAGGAGACTAGTTTATGTTACTGTAGAAAAATACAAAATACTAACTGCTGCAACTCCTTTAATCAAGGTCCTATTTTAATTCATAAAATATAAAACATTACTCTCTTAAACCTTCAAATACATCAAATAAACTCTCACAAAACAAATAATGTATTTATTTAATATACATATTTATAGTTACCATTAATCCTACACTCATTTCCTATAGTTATTTCAGGATTATCTTTGACCTTTAAGAACAATAACTACAATAAGTACAATGTATTGTACCTTTTGTCTTTGACCCTTATCATGTGAACATGTGGCTAATGAGGATTAAAGATTAATCTTCACAGCTTGCCTTCTAATGTCTGGAAGGAGATTTGAACAATGACAATGATCGCTCAATTGTCTTTGTCACAATCCTCTCTCTGACAAATCCTGTTAAATACTGTTTCTGCCATGTCCAATGTTGCAGACATCTTTTAATAAGTACATTTAGTTTTTTATTGCAGAGTTTTCTTAACTGCAGGTTTTTTTTATTTGCAGCATGTGTTGGTGAAGAAATGTCTCCATTTGCATGTTTTTTGGAACATTTGTGTTTTTCCTAATGTGTTATAGCTCGTTTCCCCGTCAGACACCGTTAGTAAGGCTTTTTACCTTATGCACCTGTTGCCCAAATTGACCACAATCATGAACACACAGACAGTATTGCCATATTTCTAAATTCTAAATTACTCACACATTTTAAACATTATCATTATCATCTCTAATGTCCATTACAAATAAACATGAATTATTCCTCAAAATACTTAGTAAAAGACTCTTCTATCACCAGAACTTTCCTGGGATTCATCGTTTGTTGTTGTTTTTTCTTCACCAATAATAGTAAAATCAGGTTATCCTTCTTTTTAGATATGCCCTCACCTGCTGGGTTTACGGCCTCCACCGTCCCCACAGGAGTCTCGGGTGGAGCGTCCTCAAGCACTGAGAAGGTGTAGCGCGACCTCTGGAACACGGCTGGAGCCTGAGCGCTGCGTAAAACGTTGATGGTGACCTCTGCAGGCCGGACAGAGGTCAAGCCCCCCCCATCCCGCGCTGATATTGAGAGCTTCACACTGGCTGCACCCAGGTGGGTCAGGGTGGAGGTCAGGAGGAGCATCCCTGCAGGCACAGAAAAGGATAACAGTCAGGTCAAACAGTCATTCACAAGTATGGCTTTTTGCTTTGTTTAAAAAACAGCACTCAATTGAATTGTCTCTTTATTTATTTTTCTGAATTTAAATAGGTTACATTTGAATTAAGATTATTTCCAAAATTAGATGATTGAATACTTTTAGCCTTTGAACATGTCAAATGTTTTTCAAACACGAATGCCACTTTTTCTTTGGTTCAATCCGCTATATCAAATGCTTTCGTGCCAATTTAGTGATTTTGGACTTTTGGTTTTTCAAAAATAACAATTTGAATGCATCACATTGGGCTCTGGGAATTATAGAGCACATGGTTAATCAATTAATTGAAAAGAAAATCATCCTGTCTGTTCACTAAAATAAATTGCATTAAAGACAGCTGTGACCACAATTTAGATTAAAAAAGCTCAAGAAAATCTATGCTGCACAAATAGAGCACAAAAAACGCACATTCAGGTATTTTTATGAATGGTTGTCGACTGAATGTACCTTACAACCCATTACATAATATGATCTCAGACAATAAACAGTACTGCTCATATTGTATTTAGCACTCATGTGCATGTAGACATCCTTTAAAATCCTTTGATTTTGAAACAAAAACGTTTATTTAAAATATTTAATTCAGTACTAAATTGAGTGTGAATTCAGCGTTACATTCTGCCACATGGGGATCTAAAGCTTTAGCAACCCCTGCTGAGCGCAATCATCTCATCGGGATTTACACAAAGTAGGTTGTTGTTTATCCCCAAACACTGGGACTGCCAGCCACACAACTTCATTAGTAAGTGAGAAGTCTTAATCAAAACCAATTAAAAAACGTAATTGAAGCGTGACTAGCTCATTAAAAACCATAATGATGTGTAACTGTTGAGTTACTTTCTGATAATACTGTGAGCAGGGTTTTGATTTGCACCATGACAGGCTCGTTGATTGGTGAAGTGCCATTTGTATGGCAGCACTGAAGTAAAACACTTCTGAAAACAAACCACAATTTAGAGAAAACTAACAAATTAAACAAAGTAAAAGATAAAATAAAAACACTGAAGAAAGAAAATGACTTGGCCCACACAACTATCTGGAAGGCACTACACATTTATGAATCACTAGCAGGGTAAACACTTAATTTTATCTTGATATTCTGCTCTGTTTTCACCTTTTCTTTTTACTCTCTAACTGCAACCCGACATCTCTCCTTTTTTGTACAAAACAATGAACACACTAACAAGTCTGAGTATTCAAATGCCTGCCTACCTGATTGTTTGTCCAGTGCGAACAAACTGGACATGTCTCCAGGTAGGATATCGTAGGTGACCTGTCCAAAACTTCCAGAATCTCGGTCAGTAGCGACCACGTTGAGGATTTCTGTGCCGGGCTGAGTGTGGCTGCTGATGCTCATGGTGTACTCGTCAGGGTTAAACACCGGAGCGTTATCATTCAGGTCTTCCACCTCGACGTGCACGTAGGTTTGGGCGCTCAGGCCTCCCTGACATTTGAAAAAGTAGAGGGAACAGAAGTGTTATGTAGTTTGTGAGTAAAAGGACACAATCTTGTTATGACTACAGTGCAGGTTATAAATTATGAGATGAGGCTTTAACACAGTATGTCAAATATAATTATTTATACACTCACTGGATCTTCAGCTTTAATCAGAATGTCATGGACCGTAAGCCCCGAGTCTCGATCAATATCCTGAGAGACGCACAGCTCTCCGGTCTGTGGGTGGATTTTGAAGAGAGGATGTTTGTCCTGCATGTCAAATCCGTCAGACAGAGAGTAGAGCAGTGAGCCAAACTCAGGGCTGTCTGCATCTGTGGCGACAACCTTGAAGAAGTAAAGAAACATACAGTTACGCAAATGCCACTAAAACAATGTAAATAACATTTGAAGTACCACGAAAAAATATAGCATGTAGTATGTGTATTAAAAGGGAAGGAATATGGAATTTGTGAGCGTTTGTCTGTATTTCAGGGCCTTATTCGGTGAATAGATGCAAGTTTTGTAACTTTATGAACATTTGTACGCAGCTATATCTGCTACGTACAAAGACGCAGTCTCACAGACCAATTCCTCCATTAAAATATATTTATATACAGTATGCTATTCCCAGTATAAAGATTGCAGTTTTATCAAATAAGTTGTAATTTGTTGCTACATATCCGTAATGAATGGTAGTGCCACAGTGTCAGTTATTAGTCAATGTTTAGCTTTAACCTCTGTAGTATCCGTGCATCATAATTATTTTCATGTTCTGCCAAAGAAGGTCAACATAATAAAAGCATGAAGAAATCCCCACGATCAAAGGGTGAAGATTGTAACTGACGGGAATAAGAAGAGCCGGCCAAACTGCGGAGTAAAAGACACGCCTCCGATCCAACAGAGAGCCTTTCATGTCTCACTGTGCCGTGACAAGAGACACATTTTACAGTTACAGCGCTCGCTTGCCATAAAGATGATATCATCGCGGAGTTTATGAACTCTGATCAGAGGAAGTTTTATAGTCATGGCCCATGGATCAAGGTCTGATTAGATACACTCCCTGAAAGATTTTGAACTGCCTTTACATCTCTTTATGTCTGCCAAGAAAACTATTTTAAAATCTTGGATTTCTGTTTGTAGTTGTGTTGGCTACACAGTTATAGTACAAGCAGTGAGAATTTGAACTCCAACACATACAGAACCAAACCATTAACAACTTCTGTATGCTTACATTAGAAAAATCTCACATGGGCCTTTGTAATGGATACGTTTGCAGGGTTAAAAAAGAAAGCCAATTGACTCCTCAAAGTTGAAGATACAGCTTTTGCCCTGTTGTGTTTTATTATAAAAAAGTGATTGTTGTGTTTCAGACTGCTGGGTAGTTTGTCACTATAGTTTGAGATTTAAAAAAACGAAATAGTGAAACTGAAATGAAATCATTATCTTAAATTGATTATGAAAGGAGCCCTGGTTGCTTTCACTGTTTATCTCTCACTCTTTTCTCACTTCTTTGACTTGTTTTTTAGTCTTAGCTCTTTCATTAAAGATCCACTGTAACAGTGAAATATCCTTAATGATTTTCCTATTCCTATAGTTCCTATTTAATCGGATTGAGTGCAAAATATCTGTCATGTTTATAGAAACTCATTGGTCAATAAGGTTTCTTTTGTTATGGGCTTCAGCTTGTGCCAGGCTGCAAGAGTGTGGTACCAGGCATCACATCTGTCATCATCACATCAAAGTCACAGTGGTCATCTGGAAAAAGGGTTGTGTGTGTGTGTGTGTGTGTGTGTGTGTGTGTGTGTGTGTGTGTGTGTGTGTGTGTGTGTGTGTGTGTGTGTGTGTGTGTGTGTGTGTGTGTGTGTGTGTGTGCGTGCGTGCGTGTGTTTAGGAGCAACACTGATGTCTTTGTGCATACAGTGAAGGCTGCATCTGTCTTATGAGACAGAGACAATAAGATGTTGAACTACTCTGGATTTCACCATAATCTCAAAATCTAGTTGTTATACGATATATAAGAACGGTTCAAGTTATCTTGTGGCTCCAAAGATTTTTGTCAAATTAACCTTTAGAATAAACAACGTCTACTTATGTCCTTATCAAGAAAAACATAAGAAAAATACATGTATATTTAGAGCTATAACTTTTAAGACTTATCATTTGCTTTTCTGTCTAATGAATCATGTTTGTCTGAATACTCCCTGCCTCTTCTGAAATGCATTCTTTATTGTATATGGCTTATAAGCCTGAAAAGGACATGATGAACTCGCCTGAGTAGTATTTTCGTATTTCTGTTTTTTCTGGTTTCCAATCATTTTAATAAGGGGGTCCCGAGCCTCAGGTTGTGAATAACTGGTGTACACTTTCACTTAAAGATCCCCTATTATACTGTTTTTCATCAATATATTATAGGTCTCAGATATATACAAAACATGTCTCGCAAGTGTTTGGCTCCAAATACCAAACAGATCACCCATTGTACCCATAATCCCCTCTGTTTCAGCCCTGTTTCAAAAGTGCTGATTCTCTGTCTGTTACTTCAGATGGAAATAAGGGGCCACTCCCCCACGCCCCTCTGCGAGATATTCGGTTAAAAAGAACACAATGGTGCTCTAGGAGGAGATTCAGGAGTTAAGGGGGGGGCTTACCTTGCCAAAAAAAGCCAAAAAATAGTTATGACATCATAAAGTGGCCAAAATCTGATCAGCTCATTTTCAGACAGGTTTACTTTTTATATAAATGGATCAGGATAAAAAATTAGCGAATCTTTTCTCTTGAAACGTTCAGAATCTCTTTACACAGAGGGGATACATACAAGATATGAAAAAGTGGATTTTGCATAATAGGTGACCTTTAACAAAAAATAAGACGCCAGTAACAAGTGAATGGGATTTTGGGGAGCTCACAACATAGAAACATTACATTTTGAACACTCAACAGCATCATCTTTTCACAGGAATATTCTGTATACTTGGATAGTGTTTCCTGGAAACACAGTGTCAATAAAGATACATTTAATGTTGCATTGCTCTGACCAACAAAAACTACATTTTGATCAATTTAATGTTATTGGGTAAAGGGCATTGTGATGGTGTTTAAGACACTCACCATGTCATTTCGTGTCCCCACCCAGTCAAACTTTTGTTGAATGTAATTTCCTCTCTCTCCATCTTCATTTCCTGTCAGCTTTATTATTATTACATAACGTTCTAACTAATAGAGGCCTACAAATTAAACCTATACTGGTGTGGAAGGCATTGTAGGGTCAGATATCTCAAAAGCTGGACAATTAAACAAAACTATGAACTCGGGAGTGGGAAGTATATATGTGCTAAATATTTTTTGCAACATACTTGTAAGAAGCAGCTCCCGACATCACTGTGCTCGGGCATGGACACGTTGTACAGCTGCTGCAGGAACACAGGCTCGTTGTCGTTGACGTCCTCCACCAGCACAGTGACTGTAGCTGTGGATGACAGAGCCGGGTCTCCTCCATCAGTCGCCACCACCAGGAACCAAACCTCCATCTGTGTCTCTCTGTCCAGAGCTGCAGCTGTTGTGACCAGGCCCGAGTCTGGGTGGATGCTGAACAAGCTGTCCTGGTTGGACTTAAGGATGGAGTATCTAACATCTGAGTTGACCCCCTCATCTGCGTCTTGTGCTCGCACCTGGATGAGGGAACTCCCCTGTGGTGCGTCCTCAGAAATATCAATCATGTACACATCTTTCTCAAAAACTGGGGGGCAATCATTGGTGTCGATGACCCTCAGGAGGAAGACAATCTCACTGCTCAGAGGTGGGCTCCCAAAATCTGATGCTACCACTTTCAACTCATACAGATCCTTTTGTTCCCTGTCGAGCTCTGAGTTGACACACAAAGCATACAGGAAGTCATCTGTCTGCTTCAGGGTGAACTTCCCATCATCCTCCTCGAGCGTGACGGTGACCCTCTCCTCCTTAAAGTCGGAGTCTGATACTGAAATCCTGGCAATGTAGTCCCCAATCGCTGCTGCCTCTGAAACCAAAGCATCTCCTGTCTCGCTGAGGAACAGCACGCTTATGGTGGGACTGTTGTCGTTGACATTAACCACCTTCACACCCACAAAAGTGCTGCTGTACTCAGGCTGAGCCCCGTTATCTCGCGCGCTGATGATCAACTCATGGAAAGCCTGAGTCTCATAATCAAGCGGCTTGTTGAGATACACCACCCCGGTGATTTGGTTGATAGAGAAAACCTCATTTGGGTCACTCTGCCGCCTGTTGATCTCATAAATGATTACACCGTTGTTGCCCATGTCGAGGTCAGTGGCGTGGACCTGACACACAGAGGACCTCAGCGGGGCATCCTCTGGCAGCGAGGCGTGGTATTCAGTCTGGTTGAACACGGGAGGGTTGTCGTTCTCATCCAGGACCTGGATGTTCACATGAAGATTCCCCGTCCTGGTTGGGATGCCACCATCAAAGGCCTCGATGGTGAGGGAGTAAAGCTCCTGAGTTTCCCTGTCTAGTTTGCTGGTGAGGATGAGATCCAGGCTCGGGTGGCTCTCAGATCCACTGCGATACTCCAGGTGGAATAACTCCCCCATCTCAGTCTCTGTGATCCTGTATCCCTGGGTACCAAACTCACCCTCATCCCCATCTTTAGCTACTTCAAGCTGAAATTGACTCCCAGGGGGGCTCAGTTCTGATATTTCTAAGTTGACCTCCTCTGAGGGAAACACAGGGGAATGGTCGTTCACATCTGTAACCTCTAGTATCACTTTGATCATCTCCCCTGTCAGGGTGGCTGCCACAAACTCATACTTATCTCTGCTCTCTCTGTCCAGGATCACAGCTGTGGAGATGATCCCCGTGTCTGCGTCTATTTCCAAGTCTCTGAACACATAAGAGTCTCTGCTCTCTGAGATGAAGAATCCGGTGCTTGGCCTGCTTAATCCTGCTCCCAGATCTCCAACGATGGTTTTAGCAGGCAAGCCCTCTTTAACAGAGAGCGTCAGGTTGAACACCTGCCCGAGCGACCGCGCGCAAAGCAGCGACAGCACGAGGGTCCAGATAAGCGACGGTGAGGCTTTTTTGCGACCCATTGCTCCTTTCCACATGGTTTTGAACTTTAAGCAACGTTACATATTTCAGTGTCCAAGTCAAACTCTTCCATCACATTTCAGAGCACCTCTCCAAAAATAAATCAGGTAAACGCACCTTGCATTTTTGAGCACAGGAAAACAGCCAGCAGTCATTCTCCATCACAATATTCGAGCAGTTTTTTTGCTTGAATTTGAAGAAGAGATATCCACACATCTAGGAGCGCAAATCCCCCCGGGCTTCTCACACATCATGGCACCGAGTGGCCACAGAGTACCCACTGTGCGCACTGAACACACCTCCTGCCCACGTCTCGCGCTGATCGTCTCGCGCTGATCGCCTCCATCTGTGCGCGGATTGCTTAAGATTTAATTAGACCGGGAGATTAGTGCCGCGTGCTGAAAGGTACCATAGTCAATAGTTGACCAATCGAAGATCAAGGTGTGCAAAGTAGGGGAAACAACTCATGGAGAGAACTGTTGTCAGAAAGTTAATAATACAATCTGTGATTCGGCCCGCATGCTTTTGGAGAAGTGTTTAGAATAAATCAAATATAAATTGAGTTCGACGAGGTTCATTTTTTGGCGAATGTCCATTTAGTTGTATGATGGCTCCCTCCAACGGCAAAAACAAGAACCGCAGGCAGAGCACTGAAATGTTTAACTGCAACACCCTTTAAAATACAGTCAAACAAAGAACCCTGAGCTTGATAAAGTTATTTTGCCAATTATGGGCTCGAATAATTTAGTAACATGTTAAGCGTCTGAAAAGATGCTCATGAAAAAGTGTCTAGCTGTCTATGATCCTTTGTAATACTTTAAAATAATGTTTTGCATGTGTCCAAACATTTGTATCTTTAAAAATAAATTGATGCCCTAAATAAAAAAATTGCAAAAAGATTGAGAACAGTTTGCACAATATATTTGACAGGTTTGCATATAACATCGAATTAAGTCACTCAAAAAAATTATATAAAATAAATGGTCATAAATTGTTTTTATTTTTCATATATTTCTGTATCTTAGAAAACCAAAAACTCAAACTGAATGTGGCTATTTGCTTCCTAGATAGACATTAAAAGTACATTTATAATTATAATAAAGCCTTAATTAACCTTAAATGTGGAAAAACGTAAAGTATTTCAAAATACCCTGAGAAAATACCCTTTTGAGAGAAGAAAATACACATTGTATTCAACATTATTTAAAAAAAGAATACATTTTACGAAGCATTTAATGTTAATTATTTAGACACATAGCCCCAGCACCTTGATAATGATGTTGCAGCTCTCATTGGTCCTGCAGGGCAGAGTATCCATCACACAGCCTCCCATGGTGCTTGCAAGCGAAGTTACCAAGCAACAGATGTAACCTGAGCTGTATACCCGAGTAAACAAGCAGCATAGCTACTGAGGATCCCTTTGTCTGGGTCAGTTTGTTCAGCAACTCCACAAACTCCAACATAGAAGCTTTCGATATAGTGTTTTCTCAGATTTTTAGGAAAAATGCCTTCTCATATCATGCTCTCCTACCAGTGGGATGACCAGGCTCTGGTGAAAAAGATTTATGACCGCCTCAAAGATGATGGTCTGCCAGTGTGGTTGGATATAGAAGGAGGGGTGACGGGAAATATAAACGATTCGTGAGTAGAGAAATCTGAATTAATGGGAGTAATTAAATGAATGAATTAGATCAATCAGAATACATTTGGTCTTGTGTGCTTTCAGGATGGCTGCAGGTGTGGAGGAGGCTGTGGTGATTTGTCCATTCATGTCTCCAGCTTACCAGGCGTCCCGCAGCTGTAAGAAAGAGCTCAACTACGCAGACAGCAGGGAGGTCAGCATCGTGCCCGTCATGCTGACCAACAACTGGGAGGCGAGCGAGTGGCTGGGGCTGATCACTGCAGGCCTGCTGTGGGTGGACTTCAGGTGAGGAGGCCTTTCAAACAGACAGGGAGACAACTTCAGACACTCAAATGATTAAAGGAAATGTATTGCAGAACATTCTTGGTCAAATAAAGTCTATTATAGAGATTGTATGGTATGATTCAATATGAACGTCTGAGCTCTTAGATATTTTTGTTACCTACATCTGTGTTGTCGTTCTAGAAATGCAGAGAAGGGTGAGGAGCACTTTGAGATGTGTCTCAGCTCTCTGGAGGAGGAGATCATGTTTAACGTGGGTCACCTCCTGGCAGTTGAAGAACCTCAGGGAGAGGTGGTGGGTCAGCCTGAACCATCAAAACCCCGCATGAAAAAGAAACCTGGGAGAGGGTTTCGCCATGCTCTCTCAAAGCTCTACATCCATGATTCAGGTAGATATGGGTTTAAAAGAAAAATGGTTTATTTGGGGTAAATGTTTCTGGAAAATCCTTCCAAAGTTGCCATCCCTGGGAATTTGAGACACTGACATGACAGAAGGAGTTCCAACAAGTGCATGACATGTCTAGGATTAACTGGGACATTGTTTTTAATGTTCTAACTGTTGGACAGGAAATGTATTACTTGTATTAGGGTTATCTGAATAGCAATCCGAGCCCTGCACATTTAAACCAAACTGTGTAAAATCCTACTAACACTTGTGTATTTTTGGCCATCTCTTTTGCTGCGACATGATTTCACAGGTGAGATAATCGAGCCGACTGTCAGCAGCAGGAACACAGTGGAGCTCAGTGAGAAAGCTGGAGAGAATTGTTACTGGCTGGAGATTAAAGGCAACGGCTGTAAATACTACAGGAACGTTGTCACCAACAGATACCTGGGTAAGTACACAAGTCAAACAGCAATTATGTGAAAAATGCACTTTTTATTAAAGGAAGAAAAAGGCTTGTTTCCAAGTCTGTACAACTGGAAAATTGAGTCAATACAATTTTATTTTTTCTCCAAACTATTATTCAACATGTCTTGGTTTGTCGCTCTGCAGGATTCGACCCCAGCAGGAACCAGGTCCACTCTGAGGTCAGCCCCTCTGAGAGAGAAGAGTGGCTGATGTTGGTGGACCAGACGGACCAGAGCCATCAGAGAGCCGTCATCGTCAAGAACAAACACTCTGGGATGTTCCTGGCAGTCCAAAATGGCCACTTTACCGGACACACATCTTACAATGAAGACTGCAAATGGTTTTTAGAATAAAACAGGACAATGTGGGCACTTCTGTCAATGACACATAAGTTGTTAAGAAAAACAAGTAGAGAGACCAACTTGATAGGTGTATCTACAACTGGAGGATTGGTAGAAATACAATTAAACATCACTGTGACAAAAGAAACAAATAAAAAATGATTAGAATCTCTTCCTCTTGAGGATTTCTGGTTTCCAGTTGATGGGATGGGTTTCCTCTGTCTGTAAGAAAGAAAAAGGAGCGGTCATATTTTCTATCTACTGCTTCAGAGCCAATTCAAATACACATTTTAAATATGATGGTATAACTTACAGCGGTGTCGTCTTCCTTGTATACTTTAATGGTCTTGTCAGCCTCGGCAGTGATCAGCCGGCTCTCTGAGTTATCGAACTTGCAAGCGAAGATGCCAGACTCGCTGTCCAGAGAGCCGGGCTGCACAGCGGCGTGAATCCTCTGGAAGTTATAGCCTGTCCTCCAATCCCACATGTGGATGGTTCCATTGTCGGCTACAGAGAACAAAAACATCCACATGTATCAGAATTTTGAGACAGCATCAACACAACTAAGAAATGATAATCTATTACACGAGTTAAACATTACTGCAGACAAAACAAGTGATAGTTTAGCTTGAATTGAATACCTCCAGACACCAACACGCCATCGGAGTTGACGGCCATAGTGTTGATGATGGCGTTGTGGCCCGACAGGTTCTGGATGAAGCTTCCATCGGGGAACATCCACTGCTTGATGTTGTCAGCAGAACCAGAGGCAAACGTGTATCTGTAGGACACAGGAAGTAAGGCGACCATATGTTGAGGATATTACAAACTCTTATTCTTTTAAACTAGAATTGTTTTTGTTTGAGCAATTTAGATGTATTAAATGTAATGATACAAAACGCAGGCAACTAATCCTAAAAAGCGCAAACCAGCTAACGTTTATCAACAGTGATGCTTAACACTTCAAACTTAAACAGAATATGTTATTGGTAAGGTAACTTACTGCCTGGGGTGCATTGCCAGAGTTCGGACAGACTTCTTGTGGTTTGTCAGAGTCGCTCTGGTTTTTCCAGCGATCAAGTCCCACAGCCGGATGGTTGAATCGTGACTGCCTGCAAGATGATAGTCAGTGGTTAGCGGAGGGCCAAACAATCAGGTACGACTTTGATAACTTGTTAGATCATTTTGGGTTAAAACAATGTATTTACCAGTGATGATTTGTGGCTCTGCAGCCTGACACTTCACTGTGGCCACAGTGTTGGTGTGTCCGGTCAGGGTGTGCACATTGGCTTTACTCCTGATGTCCCAAACCTGCATGGACAGGGAATAAATCAAATCTCTTTAATAAACGTATTACTTACAGTGAGAGGAAGGGTGCACACCAGTTAAAAGTACACCGACACCAAGTGAAAGTGCAGAAGGAGTATTGTGTTCACTGTTTAACTATTGTCCTATTGTTTGATATATGCTGTATAGGTATAAGGTGTCGATGAAGATATCTGATAGCTAGACGTTGTTCATGCTTGAAAGCACAACATATAAAGAGCTGAACACAAACCACAGAGGGTTAATCAACACATGAAACAGAACATAAAGGATGCTTAGCATAAACATGGAGAAACTGGAATTCAGAACATTTGAACACTCTCTTTAAATAGGGCTGGACTCGACTAGGTAAAACTCAAGAGTCGACAACCAATCATATGATTTTGTGACCAATCATCCATTTAACTGTGAGAATGCAAAGTAGCAGCTTACCCTTGCTGTGGCGTCTCTGCTGCACGTCACCAGCACATCAATAGTCGGATGAAGGTCGATATCATAGACAGCACTAAGGTGGCCGTGGTAGTGCCTGATGACCTTGTTGTACTCCAGATCCCAACACTTGACCTGCTTGTCTTCTCCACAGGAGAACAGGTAGGGGCTGCGGTTGCTGACCGCCACGCCGCGCACCGTGCTGATGTGTCCCGTCAGGGAGAGCTTCAGTTTCCCACTGGCCAGGTCCCAGATCTGTCAAGAACAAACAGCATTTAAGTAAATCTAAGGGTATTCTGTTTAAGAAGATACTGAAAAAAGCGCTTTTGATATTGCGTGCGGTTCCAATGGAAAACCGATGGTATCTGGCTGTAAACAACAAAGAATATAATATGGTCGTAATGAACCATTCAGGGTCACTAAGATAGATGTATAGAGATTTGATTAAAGGTTCACAGACATCCTATTTTCATTTAGCCATATTACTCTTGAGTTATCAGCATGATTAGGGTATCTCAGTCACCAACCTGTGGCCCAACTGAGATAACTTCATGACAACTGAGCCAATATCAATTTGCTGATAAAGACCATAAAATGTGGTTCAAGGCTCTGGAGACTGTTACGTTTCTATGTTAAACTGCTGTAACCAAGATCACAGAGCATCGTTCATGTTATCATTTAATGTATTGTTAGTTAGTATACATCAAAAGCATGTTGGAGGAGCTCAGGTCAGAAGAATTTCATTGCCATTTCTACACTGTAGCTTTGAGGATATGACAATGAAACCTTTGAAATAAAACAACAACTTCTTGTTAAACCATATTTATGAATTTTTTTCACATACTAATTAATAAAAAGACAATAAGCGACATGGGAAATGAAAGTCATTTTCAACTTTACTCACCTTTATGGTTCTATCAGCAGAGCCTGTGACAAACCACTCATTCCCCGGCTCCACGGCGATGGATCTCACCCAGCCGAGGTGACCACTGATGACCTACCAGATCAAACATACGACATTTAAAAATCACACAGAAGAGAAACATCCCAGGTGCCCCGCTTTGGCATTACATATACAAACAAAGAGGGAAATTAAAGCTTAGATTATTTGTATGTACCCGAAACAGTTTCCATGGGGGATGCCACTGTGGTTTGGGCATGGTGGGCGCCTTCCTCGCCATCGCATTTCTGGTGCCACCTCCGTCCAAGAGAGACTGAAATAAATACATTAATTCATTATCAGATCAGCTTTTTTCTCAGTGATTTTACAGCACGGGTAAACAATCAAGATATCTGATCAAGAGGAAACAGTGTGACCTACCACAGAAGAAGACTGAGGGTGAGATCTCTCTCCTCCTCCTGCGTGTCGATGGATGTCACCAACACTGGAAGCGGTGCGGCTGACATCCTGCCTAGAAATTCAATAACGACACAAAAATACTGTTAGTTTATATCAATAAGTTGTTTAAAAATCCTGAAAAAGTTCTCCACGTGTTCAGGAGTGTTCTCCAGGAGTGTTTATGCAAAATGCTACCAATCCAGATTATTCACAGTATAGGATAAATAAAATAAAGGCGTACCTGGCTTGTGAGGGTGGCAAAACGAGCGCCAAGGAGTTGATTCCTCCCTCACTTGGATTCCTGTGGATCTTTGTGTCAGCAGTCAAGGCCACTCCTATTGAATAATAAAACACTTGTATAAGATACACAAATATTGCTGATGATGTTCATGGTAAGGATCAGAGATGGGGTCGTTACTAAAAAAAAAAGTAATATATTACATTAAAAAAAAAGTAATATATTACACTACTTCGTTACTCTCTAGATAAAGTAACTCGTTACTTTACTTGTTACTTTACTCGCAGGGCCGGCCCGCCCCTACAGGCAGATCACGCAGACTGCGGCGCACCTACAGTGTAAGCGCGCCACAGTTTTGCCTCTGCGAGACTCCACTTGCACCCCCAATTACTATTGCATTAAGGAAGACATAACACAAGTCTTTCTTTTTATATGCTCTAAAATAGGCTACCAGCCACACAACAAGCTAACAGTCTGTGAAACGTAAAGACACTAATTAATGAAACCAGTTTAGTATTCCATAACTTAGTAACAGAGATGGTCAAACTAAAGTGGTAGAGACATGGCAGAATTCCTACAATGAAGCGGGACATTGAACTGTTCACCCGTGAGAGGGCGATCAACAAAAGAGAGCGAGCGGCCCCGTTGAGGGAGTTTACAGATGAAAAGACTCAGCCATGTTTATGCAGCACTGCTGCACGTGGAGATGTGGTCTCGCAAGTCGCGCAGATTACATAGGCCTACATGTATATAAACCGATATAAACCTGCGGCGGAAACCCCTCTTGTCTGTCAGTGAGTGTGATTATTTTATAAAAGTAACGAAGTAACGCGTGTCGGGGCAATGTTAGTAACTGTAGTGTGATTACTGAATTACAAAAGTAACGCGTTACACTACTCCGTTACCGACAGGAGTAATATTCTTACCCAACTCTGGTAAGGATGTATTACCACTACAGCTTGGTTAAATTAAAACCATCGTATTTACCAGGTCCAGAGGGATAGGCATGTGTCCCGGCGATCAGGTATTCTGGATCATCCCCTGAAACAAATTAGGGGATTTTAAATACTGGGAACTCAGGAGTCAAGAAAATAAATGTATGCATGGATTTCTCCATAATCCCCTGAGGGTAATATGCAGTGCTTGCTTCGTCCTCACCTGGCTGTGTGTAGCTCTGGTTGCCCAGCATACTGCCAGCAAGAAGGGACACTCTGTCTTTGCCCTCCTTCAGGACAGGCATGTGCAAAACTGCATTGTAGTCTGCTTTCAGTTTCACAGACATCTTCATCTTCTGGCTGCAAACACAGTAGACAGGGATGCATCATTCACTTGCTAACTATACTTGACAAATAAGCATAATTTTGTTCTGATGTTTACATACATAAACATACATGCAACAAACAATATGCAGTTTGTTGCTTTGAACGATTTCTTTATTTTCCCAGGAGAGAGCAATATATATCACATCTCCTCTCATGGTATGGTATTCAACTTGACATTATAATGATGATATATATATATATGTTATCAAAAAAAAAGTGATTGCTGTTGGTTAATCCAGTGAATGAAATACAGGTGAATTCCATCATCACACAAACAAATACTTATTATGATACAGCCGTCTCACTATATATTCATACTGACCCCCGACACTATATTATACACCAACTAATTATAATA